CTTCGTGACTTCTTAGACGTTGGGCGCTTACCAGTTGCCACCCTACGCTGATATTGTTTCCTCAAAGAAACCTTACGCCTCCTAGAGGCCGGGAAAGTAGGGTCCCCGTGGTTTCTATATATCTTAGCACGCTTTATACGAGACCTCATGTCTTGAACGACATCTGGTGAAGTGTTAAGTAACTCAAACACTTCACCCAGTGGATTTACACGTACCACTTCACGTACAGAATTCGGGCCTAGCCCTAAACACTCTGGCTTCTCACCATCAATGTCATTACCGACATTCAGTGAGGTGCCACCTCGGCCGCCCTCACCCGGTGGAATTACACGTACCACTTCACTCACATCATAGGAATTACATTATTGAAGACTCGGCCCTAGGCCAACCATGCCTGCAGTATGCAGTGACTCAGTATCACAACTAGTATCCCTCAACGGAGTATAAATCCCTTCACATACAGTTAAAGAGCTCCGCTCAATATGGATGTCATTGATATTGGAGTTAATTAACTCTGACATACCAATGTCCAGCACATTGACATCTTCTATCAATGGCTCGGGTCAATAGCGCTTTTGTTGCCTAGCAAAGGTGGGTTCATGACACTCCAAAGCTTCGCTAGAAACATTGAGCGTGGCGCCCAAGGTCTTAGAGCTCCAATCAATCCATGGCTCATGGCGTTAAGCCAAGCCATACCCAGGATGAGATCATATCTCGAAATCAAATCGAGGACAAGACAGCGTTCAATGCTGTCAAAGCCCAAAAACTTCACACCTAAGTTCAACGAAACTTTAGACACCGTGACGCGACTACCAGTAGCTAAAAGAACGGTGATTGAATCACCCTCATGCGCTTTAAGCGCTTCAGCATATCGCTGACTTCCTTCAAGGGAACTACGTCGAGCATAATTGCATGATGCCCCGGATTCGATTAGGATAGACCAATGCTTCTCAGAGCCTTTAATATTCGCCTCGGCAACTAAAAAGCCAGGCTTGTATCCACGCTCTGTGCTGGTGGGCACATAGATCGGTGGGGCTAAGCCCTGTGTCACTTTACCTCGTAGAGAAGAAACATAACTAAGTTCTACCCCAGTAGGGCGCCTCGCGCCTACTGGGAGTCGACGTTTCCCCGTGCCATACCAGGTTTCTGGTTGTGGCTGGGGATTCGACCCATAGGAGTCGGTTGTTGCTTACGCGAAGGACAAGCGGGACGCAAGTGTTTAGTGCTTCCGCACATATAACAGCGTCTCACAACCTGTCTTTTCTCTGCAACATGAAGCTCCGCTTCACCTTCATCTTCAGCATGGCTGAGATCCATCGGTTCTGGCTTACAGTAAGCCGAGGTGCTTGCAGAGGTCGCCCTCGCAAATCTTGAATTGTACTCATTCCAACCAAGTCTGGCCGACTTGAAGTTGTGCTCAGCTTTTTACGCGATGCCAACAGCTTCCTCATAAGTAGAGGGATGAACCCAAAACACCTCGGTCCTGGCAACGCCATTAAGTTGACCTTCCATGTAGATAGTCACATAGATTGTTTCAGGTAGAGGTTCAGACTGCATAGCAGCCATCAGAGTTCTCAACTCTTGGACATAGTCCGTTAACTCATTATTACCCTGACGGGTAGACAAGAATCGTGAGCGCACGCGATACGCTTGGTTAGGCGGAGAGAAAACACGCAAAAGGTCTAACTAGAGCGAATTCCATGTGGTAACGCCAAGTCGACCGACGTGCCGCACGTCAGAGCCCACTCTCTTTCTCTTCCATCGAGCTTGGAGATGGCCAGCGAGACCCGCTCGTACTCCAGTGAGATAAGGCCAGATCTCATGGTCGTCTCAATCTCACGAATACAGAGGGTCAGGTTTTCTCCCTCCTTCCTGGATTAATGAATAACGTCCACCCGAAGGAGACGGGGCTTAGCTCCTTCTGGTGGAATTGACACGTAGCGTGTCGGCATAGCCGACGCTACTTTGTTTTGAACCTGCCCTAACAGGGCCGTTTCATACCGAATGAAGGTCTCGACTCGTGCATTGAGCTCATCGGGACCTTGTGCAGCTAGAAACTCATCATACTCTGGCCCTACGGCCGCGGTCAGCTTATCAAGCGCGATCTTTTGGGCCTCAGAGAGAGGTGTGGTTCGCTCCATCCTCACGGAGGATCAGTCGTAACGACCCAGGCGTAGATTGACTACGAGTGCTTCCAAGTGTAGCGGAGCTACACAGCTCCTTAAGTCAGAGGAAGACTTAACGCTCAATGAGAAATTAAAGGTTCAGAGAACCCGACTTAAAGAGTCAACAAGCTTAGAGAGCTTACGGTCCCTGTTCCAGGGGGGGCAAACGATTCAAAGAATCAAACGCACAGAGTGCACAAGGAGTAGATGCCTCAACAAGGCGTTTCCACCTCTTTAACGATCACAAGACGCCTCGAAGAGGCACGTGTCTATCGGATCAAAATGGGGACTGAATTTTATTTCTTATTTTATCCTAAAAGAACATCTTAAAACAAAGTAATTAACCTACTCACTAATGTCCTGAATAAACCTCTCAAAAGATCTCGTAATCAATGGTTGACAGACATCAGTCTTTTAACAATTGAAACTTGTGTTCTAATATTACTCTAAAGGGAATCCCATCCCTTGTGTGCACCGCACCTATTGTCGACTACCAGTCGACGTATAACCCCGTTACACCACGTGCACGTGACGTCGGGAGTACACAGCCTTGTGTCCGGTTAACACAAGGTATTTCCAGTCAACTATTGGAGCGTGCCCCGTTACACATCTTAAGAACTATATCGAAGGTTTTAATAAAGGGGATTTTTTGTATTATATATATACTGTTTTCTACTTTTTACTTCTAAGCAACTTTTGCCCAGCTTGTCGACTTCCTTCGCACGTGCGGTGTACGTGAGATCTAAGATCACAAATCTTTGCAATGTCACCAGCGTAGGCCCCGTCACAGATCTAGATAGAAAGTGCCCCGTTATTAAGCATATATTTGTTCGAGCATGCAATTTACTCAGTTAATACTTTCTGTTACATGCTACAATTTATGTTTTTTTATTTTAATTTTGTGGCACATTTCCATATAATCTTGTTATATGATGCATCTTGTTTTTGAAGGAATTGGCGCGTTTCTATTATTTTCCTCTGATTATAGCTCGATGAAATATATGCAGCGTTGGTACAAGGCTTGATGCCCCGTTACATCTGCTCTGTTCCTTCACCCAATACATTACCTCGTTGCTTCTTTTTCGCTTACGCTTTCTATCATCTTGATTCATTGTACGCACTGCTGCGCTGTAATCGTGTGATTACTGCACAAAGTGTAGGGTGCAGATAGCTGATCTGGGGTTTGTTGTACATGGGAACAGCGCAGTCGATCTGCGATATAAAAAAAAGGTTGGGTTCCGATCTGTGCATAAATGAAATTTACTCATCTCTATACTCGAATCACAGACCTTCAAGCTGCCGAATCTATCATGCAATCGCCACAAATTACAAACTGAGATTCGTGGCTATGAATCGCACCACTCGCTCGTTCAGTTGTTTGCTACCAGAATGGAAGCTATCGATGCCACAGCAACGGCGACGACATTCTATCAGTGCGGGCTGCAAAACCCCAGTGCTTTGATCGAGAAACACAACTGGCAATCGAAGTTAATTCATATGTCTAGTGATGATTATCGGTTGCCGAGGCGTTTGGACAGTGGACAGCATCACGCATGATTTGACTCCCTGGCTACGTGTGTCTTAATGTCGCACTGAAATACCCTTTAAACGCCTCGTTTTGTTTTCAGCTTTTTGCTCCCTATCCAATAGTACGCCTCGTTATGTTTCTGGCTTTTTGCTCCTTATCCAATTGTAACGGGGCACACCCTTGCGTGAACTTAACGCAAGGGTTTCGGTGCCCCGACAGACGTACACGAGGCAAACGAGGAAGCGTAGATAAGGGAAAAGTAAAACTGTTGTATTAATATAATTAAGTCTTTAACCACTGTCTCTGTTTGACTTAACTTAATTATGCTAATATAACTGAGTGTATGGTGACGTCTCGTCACCACTCATTGCGCGCGTCTTGCGGCGATTGGTGGGTTGATATCATCAAGATATCAACCAATGAACAGACTCTTTGGTCGACCCATCAATATCGCCACTATTGGTGATATTGTTAAAAATATATTCAACATAATATTCTTTTATTGTCACTATCTTCTAAATGACAATTTCCATGTAACGGGCTGCCCCGTTACACCAATAGTACGCCTGACGCGACAGACGACGCAGGGCGCCAGAAAATTTCACACGTGACAGCTTCATCCACAGACGATCAGAGCTTCCCGAATCATCCGATCAGAGACCTGCGCGTCCGTGACAGGAACAGAGACGTGTGGATACCGGTTCTAGTAGCAGAGTGACAGACCACAGATCACAGTAGGAATCCGAAGCTTGCTCCATCGTCGTCCTTCCTATACGGCTCAGCTGAACCCAACTGGCTTAGCCATTCTGCGTTTTGCTCCCTCTCGCGCAAACTTTCTTTCTGAATGCCACTCCTGTAACGGGGTGAGCCCGTTACATAAAAATTGGTATGAAAGTATCAATTTTGAATATTATCTGTTTTGATAATATTCAATCAACATCACTCGAAATGAGTTATGTTGTCGGATTATTATCGCTAAGGATAATATCCGTGGAGGGGTCCACTTCTCGGATGATGTACGGCGTACATCAAATAACTCAACCACCAATCGCTGCTGGACGCGCGCAATGGGTGGTGAGCAAGGTACCCCCATAGGAGAAGATAGTTTATGATAGTTAGAGTAAGTCAAAAGATGATTTATTAACGTTATAACTATATTATGTAGACAGTTCTACTTTTCCCTCAAGACAGAGCTTTCGGGTTCTGTTTTACCTACCGCTTCCTCGATTGCCCTGTGTACGCTTGTCGGGCACACGTCACCCTTGCGTTAAGTTCACGCAAGGGGTGTGCCCCGTTACAACTCCGCCATGCAGTTGTACTTCACCGTGCTCGTGGCTAGTGTCACAACTTTGACAAGCACCGAATGTCGTGTGGTGGCGTCTGGTCTTCGTGCCACGAACACTACGCACCTAGCTTTGGTTTCGACTACCGATAAGCACGACACCGATCTCACCGAAACGAGTCCTCCAGCACCTAACACAATGGGCGGTGAAGAAAGGGTGATCATTACGGAGATCGAGAGCGTGCTTCCTGCGGAGGTCGAGAGCGTGCTTCCTGCGGAGATCAAGAGCGTGGTTGAATACGGCAAAGATTTCTTCGGCATCGCCTATCCGACGCAGTCTGTGACGCAGCTTTCCATAGTTCCCAGCAGTGAAAGAGTTGTGTGGCTCGAGCAAAGCCGATTGGGCAAGATATATCCGGGGCGCGGAGAGGAGAGAATTCGTACGGGTGACTATTGGTTTTTCTTTTTTGACCGGTGGAATTTGATCCAAGCAGATATAGAAAGCTCGAAAGTTTCTGTTTCCGAATGTATTCAGAAGTACGGAGAAGACGCCGTGGCATATTACGTGGGGGGATATGCACTAGGCGATGGACTTCAGGAAAACCCCTTTATACAGAAAATGGTCGTACAATTACATCAGCACTGGTTTGATGAGAGGAAACTTCCCGACGATGTCCTCAGGTCGCTAAAACTTTCCACCGACCGCTTCGAAGTTTATGATGACTACATGATGAAGGCGCTGGAGCGCTATATCGAGGCACTCAACCGTCACTTTGCCTTCAATAAGCCCGTTGACAGAGCGGTGCGGACGTATTGGACCCTATTTCAGGTGCTCCTGGAGGACATGGGCGACGCAGTTCTGTCCAGGGTGTTGTATCGGACGAACAGAGACCGTGTTCCGGACCGAGAAAAGGCGTTGTGGGCAGAGATGATGGATGATTGGAGGAGCAGGAATCTGAAGGCCGACGACTTGGTCACAATGCTGGAACTCGACAATACAGCGAGTCAGTCTCATGACGCCGACGTGGCGATATACGAGGAATACACAAGGACAAAGTTTGTGGATCGCCCGAAGCGATAGAAGCAGCCGATGGGCACGAAAAAGACACTCGTAAAGTTGCTGGGGTGGGAACGAAGGATGCGAATGAAGGAAAAAGAATGAGAATCTCTGGCGCGTTAGGTGACGGGATGGTAAGTGTGGCTAAGGTTGCAATGCTCGCATGCTTGGCGTTTCCTTGCGGCCATAATGTTGGCAATTGTGCAGGCCTGAGGATGACATTTGGACGCGTCGCTACTGCGAGGGAAGAGGAGAAAGGTAAGTCGGTCTATCTGCTTGGAAAAAAGTGTCAGCCTCGAATCCAATGAGGGACTATCAGTGTGCGGTTTTGATATGTCCACCACAATTATGCAGAGACAAGATGTGATCGAAAGACGCTGTCGCGTTGCTGTTGAGTCGAGGTGCCACTACCGCGGCACAGAAGTAGCAGAAGGTGTTAACGTTTCTGTACAATGCATTTGTTCACGTCATCTACGACGAGAAGCGTCGTCCGTCATGCAATATAATCGCTCTGTGGCGTCGAACCCATTACGGTCAGGCTTGTGGAACAGGTCTGCCACACGCATGTAATCAGCGCACTCCATCTGGTAGCGATGTCGCGACTGTAGCAATCTTTAGATCTCGCGTTGCATTGACTTCCGTCCCTCTTGCTTGATGGGAAACTTAAACTCGTTGTGAGTGCCGTATTGCATTGGTACAGCGTAGAACGTACGTTGCTATCACTGTCGCCGTTTGCAAATGTCAAGAAGCGGACAAATTGACTCACGGGTGGAACACCCTTGACAAAGCTGCTCTCTGTTTGCCGCTCACTTTGCTTTTCATCGATGGTTGAACACCTCCAACCGTATACACGACCAATGTGACGCCTTCTATTGGGAGAATGCCGAGCCGAATCATAGCGTATACGTTCACCCGTTCAGGCGGGAGATACACTTTGGCACTACGACATCGTTCACACAATGTCACGAATGTCATACGACCGTACAGTATGCTCAAACATCAGACGTACTTGACACCGTGCGCAACAGCTTGGCATAGTCGTGGTCCCAAGCCGTCAAGTAAATCACCGTGAGTATGTACTACTCAGGTGTACAACTTGCAGCATGACCGCCGATCCAGAGACAGAAACTCCGTGGCGCTCTATTCGTTTGTCTTTTTAGTTCGTGCTCGAGGCGCGATTTGAGGTCTGCTCAAGTAAAAAAGGAGAAGTCGAGAGTTCGTGCAAGTAAATGCTGGGTAACTGACCACTCCCACGACTTGCGGCATATTGCACGATCACCTGCTGTATTCATGTTAGCACTCTCGTTGACAGCATTCTGTCCGTAAGCGTCGAACATGTCGCTACCGTCAACATCACAATCTAGCTGTCCAAAACTAAAAGCCCGAGTGTCCGCCTTGTGTTCACACGTACGCCGACACGAAGTAGCGATCGCCAGGCTTAAAAAGGCACTCATCAAGCCCATCTCGTCATCAGCAATGCGGCCGTCAGCACAGCATATTGGATATGACTCAGTGTAAGTCATCAATCACATCTTCCGACGACACGTTCACGTTGTCCTGGACATCATCTTCACCTGCCTCACTGAAAAAGTCTTGCTTTACAATGACGCTGACGGGGACCCGTTCCCCCGTGAGTGGGAGCTCGATATGAGGCGGGTACATCCAAACAGCCACAACCAGCGGTCGCATCGGCAGAGGACGGAACTTTCCTGTCGCTGCGGCACTATCGAGCGTTGTGTGTCGCTCTGACGACTCAGATCCGCCACGGGCGCTTCGCAAGCGCTGCAAGACGCTATGGAGACCCGACTCGACCGACACGTGCCACTGAACCGTCACGTCTGGAAGCTCCAGCGTCTGCGTGCCATCTTTGCTCTTGCTCTTGACGAGCTGCTCCACTTGTCGCGGGCCGTCGTCCATCGCCTGAACGAGCGCTTGAAACGATTCACACCTGCCCAGTACGGCCAGCGGTTGCTGGCCGCCACGTGCGTCAGTTTGTTCCGTCCATCAGTCGGGAGCATCAAACAGTATAACAGTGCGAAAGTGCGTCCGCCCGTCCAACTCGACTCACCTCTACGCTTCGCGCTCCGGCAGTCCCGTCGTGGCCATTGAAGTGGCTCAAGTCCTGCTCTCGCACGTGCACGTGCAGCGTCAACGCCTGCAGCCGCTTGGTCCGACCACGACGAGCCTTAGCACGAACAGATTGCGTTCGCGCAACATAGGGCCGCGCTTGCAGTGTTGCGCTAACGGCTGTCGAGGCGTCGGACTTAGCCCGACGAGCAGCTCCATGAGCGCAGTCATTGGCCCAAATGCTGTCGCCGCTGCCTCGAACGCCGGGGATCCGCCGCCTCTCTGCCTCGTACGGCGACGACGGCGACGACGCCCCGCCCGAAGACCGGCGCGCCGTCAATGGCTCGCGCGAAGAAGCCCAGGCGTGCTGGCTCTTTGCTCTCGTCGGCGTGGGCTACCTCTTTCCCTTCTCCGCGCTCACGCAGCCCGTGGACTACTGGACACTGCTCTTTCCCGACTATAACATTGAGTTCGCCCTCACGTGCACCTTTATGGGTACAAACCTGCTCGTTCTCGGCGCGATCGTCGTCTTGTTGCATCGCCCGCAGTACACACGACGCATTGTCGGCGGCTTCATGGGCCAACTACTCGTCTTGACGTTCGTGCCGACGTCGTCTTTCTTCCTCTCGTCCGAAAACGCCAACGCCGTTGCTGTTCTCAGTGCCACAGCCGTCGCGTCCATCGCGACGGCGTTCATTGACAGCTCGACGATTGCGCTCGTGTCGCACTATCCCCGACGAGTGCAGGAGAGTTTTCAGTTAGGTGTTGGTCTTAGCACGCTCATCGGGAGTCTTTATCGAGACGTGACGAAACTCATCTTTTCAGCTGATCAACTGCTGCTCTCGTCGCTCATTTACTTTTACGCTGGAGCACTCACCATCGCGCTCTGTATCGGGGCCTTCTACATGGTTATGAAGCTCGAGATCTCGCACAAGTTCCTGCTGCGCAAGTCGGACACTGGTGTGGAGCTCACGGACCGGTCGCCGCTCCTGAAGAACAAGCGGCAGTCAGGTGGTAGTGACCCGCTTCATTTCCCTGGACTCGCACTGACGAGGTGGACTGTTCTGAAGAAGGTGTGGCACTTGGAAATGCTGATACTGGTGGTTTTCCTTGCCAGTTTGTCAGTCTGGCCGCCGCTCATCACCGAGATCAAGACGTATAGTTTCCCGTCGCTTCAGAAGAGTGGATGGTGGTCGCTGATCCTGCTCACGTCCTTCTCGATCAGCGACTGCGCTGGGCGTTTCATTGTAAATCATCGCTTCGGTCTCACGCCGAGCAACGTGTGGATTCCGATCATGGGGCGTTTTGTCCTCGTCCCGATCATTGTTGGCATCGTCAAGGAGTGGTGGCTCCAGAGCGACTTGTGGTCTCTACTCAGTGTGTCGGCCCTCGGAGTCGGAAACGGTTATTTGGGCACATTGACGATCATCTTCGTGAGCGAGAGTGTCCACGCTGACGAGCAGCACCTGATCGGTCCCTTTACGAGCTTCTTTCTGAACTCTGGTCTTGTACTGGGATCGATGGTGGGTCTCATCCTGGAAAGAGTCGTGCTACGATAAAAGTAGACGGTCAACGCGATGCGCTTCGCGCGTCTTGCCATGCCACGTTTGTCCAAACTCGCTCGACGCTTGCCTTCAAGCTAACGCTTCGGGTGCTTGATATAGCCTTTCCTCTTTGCAGACTTGACTATCTTTTGCAGGACCGGTTGAGGCTCAAAGGTGTACGACTGTCGCTCACCTGCTGTCGCTGCGTCCCAAAAGCGAATGGCTACTGCCTCGAATGTGTACTGGATGCCGTAAAAGCTGTATGTACCGGATGTGAGACATGCGTCGCTAGCAGCCGATGGCGGATCGACAAGGCTGCTCGACGACTGTGGCATTACCGCATCAGCAGAAGCTTTATCGCTCGTCACAGTGCACAGCAGCACCGTCTTCTTCACATCAGCTGCTATCCTCGTGAGCGACTGCATCGAATTCCACGACGGGGCTTCGCCATCGCGTTGCACGTACACGGCATATTCCGAGTGAAAGGCCGCAGCCGAGCCACGATACAGCACGTAATGCGCGCCGTAGTTGAGACCGGGCCGCGGAGTCCAGCCACGGCGACGAAAGTGCTGGTACGTGACAAACATCTGTGTGAACGTCGCGCTCGAACTGATTGAAAGACGAAACACACGGCACGAAGCAAAGTCGTTGTCAGAGCGGGACGCGTCAGACACACAGAGCAGTCGTTGCACGCTCACCGCTCGAATCGTTGCCACACGTCTTGCAGCACATGTTCACCAGCTGACAAAACGGCGTCCATTGCCATGATGTAGTAGAACTCAGGCAGCGTCAAGCGACGTCGTTTCGTCGCGTTTTCCAGAGCGCCCATTGATTCGGTCGCGCGCGGCCCTTGCGGTCCATCTCCACTCGTTCTGAACGTCACCGGTGCGACCCCGAACGCGTTCTGCTGCATGTCAGTCCACCACGCCGCGTCCGTGCTATCCAACGTCACCTCCACGTCGCGTCCGCCCGGGAGCATCTTCCACGCTACCATGAAAGTTCGCAATCGAATTGTGTCCCATGTGGCAAACTTCATCTTTTCGAGGCCTCGAACGTGTTACTTCACGCAAAAGTCGCTCTTCGCGTCGATCGTTACTTTTCTGATTCGCACTGCCACAATCGGGTGATGGCCGCGACTGCAGGCCACAGGACGCGCAAACCGGTGGCGGTGGACGTCGTGCTGCCCGCGTCAACGCTCGCGCGCTCGCCGTCGCTCGACGATGGCGTCTGCCCCGCCACCGAGCGCCTGCACCGCTCGTTTGGCTGCGAACTGATCCAGGAAGCGGGCATTCTTTTGCGTCTCCCGCAGGTGGTGATGGCCACAGCGCAGACGCTGCTCCACCGTTTCTACTACCGCAAATCGCTGCGCCAGTTTGACGCTTTCCGCGTCGCAGTGAGTTGTTTGTTTCTGGCTGCGAAGGTGGAAGAAGCGCCCAAGCGCATCCACGACGTCGTCCGCGTCTTCTACGCGACGTTCCGACGGCGCAAGTGGAAGCGCGCGACTGTGACGCAGCAGCTCATCGACGTGGACAGCGCGACGTTCCGCCAGTGGCGCTCGTGGCTCATCATTGTGGAGCGCCAGGTGCTCATCGACGTGGGCTTTAGCATCTACGGGGTCACGGCACACCCGCACAAGTACGTGCTGTATTACGTGAAAGTGCTGGACGGCAGCCCGGAGCTCGCGCAACAGGCTTGGGGCTTCATCAACGACAGCCTGCGACGCGATCTCTGTGTGCGATACAAAGCCCAAGTCACTGCCTGTGCAGCGATCTTCTTAGCTAGTCGGTTCCAGAAAGTGGCGTTGCCGGAGGACCACCCGCCGTGGTACTCGTTGTTTGACGTGGAGAAGACAGAGCTGTATGCTGTGAGTGTGGCGATCATGGAGCTGTACAAGCAGGAGAAGATCGAGTGGCTCGAACCGCTAACAGAGACGAATCCGTATGCTGTCGATGAGTGTCCGGTGGTAAAAGACGTGCCAGGTCAAGAGCAAGAGAAGGTTGAACGCGGAGTCGACAAGGACAAGGAAACGTCAGCTGCGAAACAAGCAAGTGCAGGTGCGCCAGTACTTGCTACGAGTGACGGTCCACCAACGACAAAGGCACCTTCCGCGAGAGCTCGTGGACGACGCAGCCGATGGGACGATGGGCGGACGAGTGCTCGGAGTTGCCGCAGTCGAAGCCGCCGACGCTCGAGCAGCAACTCCGACGGACGAGAGCCTGAGATAGCCAGACGTTCGCGGAGCTACGAAAGGAGACGCAGTCACAGTCGATCATCGGACCGCTCGAGTAGTAGGCGAAGGCGTAGACGACGTCGCAGTCCGAGCGATAGGTGCAGTCGTAGTCGCAGCTCTGGACGTTCGAGACGTCGTCGAGTTCGGTCGTAGTCAGGACTCATTGGTGCACTGGGCGTGGGACAATGACCGACAGATATCACGTGCGACTTGGACGAGTGTACGTAGAAATGCCGGTGCACACCAACGACCCGAGCCACGAAGCTGAGCCACAGTTACTATCCGAGCGCTACTACGTGCAAAAGAATGCACAGACACTCCACCTGAGCGCTGTCAATCGATTGGTTCGACTTCGCCTTTGCCGTTCGTACAGTATTCCTCTCGAATTCGATCGCAACAGTGGATGGAAATGGACCGCATGGAGCTCCTCGAAGACGTGTACGTAGACGAGCTGATTGACGCGTTCGACGCCCCCGAAGTTAAACCTGCAGCACCTACGGGGCTTTCTGACGAGAGCCATAGACAGCACAGGCGCGCGCCGTTCAGACAACGGACACAGAGTGCCCTGGAGCTCCGCACGACGAGACCGAACCCTTTGCCGAGTCTGTACCCGGTGTTTGGCGAGTCGCGTGCGCTGAAGACTTTACCTGACGCTGCTGTCGGAGCTGCGACTGTACCGTGCGAGCCACACCAGCCGCGAGAAGCGACGAGTTTACTGGAACGTCAAGTGCCGCTGTCGAGGCAAACGTTCTGCGACAGTCAGGTGGTGACTGACGGAGCACTGCAGCGCGCGCGACAGCAGATCGAGCGCGAGATGCGTATGTATAAAGCTCGCCTCGACCACGTGGCCAAAGCTCTCGCAGGCGAAACAGCGCATCAGATCCGAGCGCGCAAACAGCGTGAGGAGGAGCAGTTGGCGCGTCGGGGAAAGCGCTGCGAAGCTGTGGAGACGCGGCTGCTTCACCAGCTCAACCGTCTGGAAGAAAGGAAGCAACGCAGGACTCGAACTTGTCTCACGGGACGCCATCGAGTCAGCCGGAGCTTGTCGCCAGGTACTGTCTGCACGAGTCGGGCGGAACATGGCGAGAGCGGTGCGAAAGAGACTGAAAGACTGTAACTGTGTTCGAAGCGCGTGGAAGACATACCTTCACACAGCTTCGTGGCTGCAATGGACCACAACGTCGAGCCGATTGAGGCTACTGCGGCAGGGGCTTTGTCTCTCGCGCAAGATACGCGCAAGCTTCCGGGTCATCCTCCAGCAGCGGCTGCAGCTTGTCGTGCACGTCCTTGTGGTACGCGTTTAACCACTGCACTTCCTCAGGCGTAAGCAGACTCGCGTCAATAAGCTTCCGTTGAATGGGCACCATAGTGAGGGTTTCAAACGCGCAAAAGTCGCGGTTGAGAGGGCTCTTGATCTGAGGCGCCTGGTTCGTTCACCCGAAGCGACAGAGAACAAGCGGTAAGTAGCGCACTCCAGAAGTGCAAGCCAACGGGCAAAGATGCACCGCTACTGCGACTCACCTTCTGTGCAACCATGATGCTTTCGATTCGGATGCCAAACTTGCCGTCTTCGTAGTAGCCAGGTTCGTTGCTCAGAATCATGCCGTCTTGAATCTTCAGGCCGTTTGGGTTCAAGCGGAAGGACATCAGCTGCAGAATCGCATGACACATACTCATGTCAGTAGGTCATCAACTAGCGCGAACAGAGACGCTGGTCACTTACCACACCCTTTTCGTGTACGTTAAGAAACGCACCGACACCATGACCCGTTCCATGGCGATAGTCCAGACCAGCCTTCCACAAAGGCGCACGCGCAATAGCATCAAGCCGAACGCCTTCAATCTTGTTAGGAAAGACAGTGTTTGCGAGGGCAATGTGTGCTTTCAACACGGAAGTAAAGCACGATCTTTCGTAGGAGGTAGGCTCTCCGAAGTGCAGCGTTCGAGTGACATCCGTCGTGCCATCCAAGTACTGAGCGCCTGAGTCATTCAGGTACATGGCAGACACCGACATTTTGGCACAATGTCCACGCTTCGGCGAATAGTGAATAATGGATCCGTTTGCCCCGATCGACGAAATGGTGTCAAAGCTCAGCGACACATAGTCTTTCACTTGCTGTCGGAGCTTTTCCTGCTTGTCCGCCACGAGCACTTCATCCCATTGGTCTTCGTGACCAGCATCCATCTCTTTCTCGAGCCAGCTGAAGTACTTGACAAGCGCAGCACCGTCACGAAGATGGGCCTGACGCATGCCCTCGATTTCTGCTGCATTCTTGATCGCTTTTTTAGCCATGACGACCGACGTGCTCTCTTTTCGGTTCGCAGCAGGAATCGCTAGGAATACAGCGACGTTGCATTGGGCAGGGTCGACGAGCACTATTGCGTCCTTGTTTGTAGACGTGAAAGCCGCGATTTCCTTCAGCATACTCGAGTACGGCTTGCAAGTGATCCCACTTGGTTCTAAATGTTGACCCACCTCGTCTTGGTTGGACGCATCTAGATACAGAGTTGCCGAGTCAGCAGTCACGACGGCGTACGACGTTCTGGGCCAAAGGCAAGCACCACATTCGCGCACGTTAGAAACTGCAATGTCAGTGGAACGAAGCGGAAGGGCAGTTACCACTCACACGACTGGATTGAACTCGACGTCGTTGCCTCGAATGTTAAACAGCCACGCAATGTCATCCAGTGCAGTGAGGACGACTGCATCTGCTCCTTTTTCCTTGATGGCTTCACGAAGACTCGTCAACTTGTCAACAACGGATCTTCCAGTGTACTTCTCCGATAGAAAAGTGACCTGCGAGGGTAAAACAGCCGGACGGTCCTTCCATATGCGATCTAACAGGTTCTCCGCCTCATGCAAAGCCACCAGCTCAATCTTCGTTTCCTTTAGGGCCTTGGCAAGCGTGCTGGAACACCACCAGTCAGTCAGTCACCGAGTGCATCAACTTCGCTGCGTTAATCTGCAGCTTCTTACCGAGCTGCGATCACCGAAGTTAAATACGGGTCAATCGCCAAACAGCTGCCGTCAGATAGACTGGTTTTTGCCCATTGCTGTCAACGACGTCAAAGAAGAGCACGCAAATAATCAAGCACATGACAACACGAAGTACACAAAAAAGGTGACCGAAGGACCAAATTTTAGTCCCACCTCCATCGTCGGCACGCCAGGCTCCTCGGACTTCATGAGCGTCCAGTCCTCGCTGAGCTCCTGCTCCGCCTGCAAAAAGTAGCGGCCGTCCGTCCACATGAGCGCTTCGTCCAGCGTGACCAAAGCGGTGCCGCTTGAGCCTGTGAAGCCCGTGAGGAACTCGCGGCGCTTGTGCGCGTCCCCGACGTACTCGCTCTGATGGGCGTCGGCCGTGTCCACGACGAACGCCTGCAGCGACCGCATCGTCGGCTCTACCGCCTCCTTCTCTATTTTACCCAAACAGTGCCGCAGGGGGAGTAGACGCACGTTTGGGCGGCCCATGAGCGCGCGCAGCTCGCGCAACTTGTCGGCTGCCAGCATAGTCGAAGACGAGTGACAATCACGGCCTCTTCAGGAGTGGATCCACTTTGTGATACACTATAAATAGGTCGTGCTCTTTTCTCCTCAAATTACTGGGACCAAATTCTACGACATCGTGCAAGAGGTCTTCGAGTGGTCTCGAGGCGTCAGGATCTGGTCTTTCGCCTGCGGGTACGGCATCGTCTCTGGCTCGTGCTCGACGCTCCAGCCTGTGCGCAGCGCAATCTCCTCTGCTAGTACTCTAGCAATCTTGACGTGGCCACTGACGGCGAAGTGCATCATGGACGCGTAGTCTTCTTTTCCAAGACCGGCGTCTACCTATGAGCAGCACGCCAGTGGTGTACTGCGTCAGCAAGCAAACGAGCTACTGAAAGAAGAGAACTGCATGCTCACCTTGATGAAAGTGTAGTGCATCTTGTCGTCGTGCTTGCTGACCTTCGAAATCGCCACCTTAACGATCTCTTGCAGCTGCAGTGACACAAACTTGCGGTTCGTCTCCGAGTCTTCCGAGCTTATACAGCCCTCGTCGTACACCACGCAGAAGATGTGGGCGTCCGGACGGTCTACACAGTACACGATGAGAATCCGTTAGCGACCGTGCCGCATGGATCCACGCATTCGCAAGCAGTACCACGTACAGGAGCGCACTTCCAGTAGAAACGTCGCGTAGCCTGTGATGATGTCGGTCTCCGCTGACGCCGGTGGGGACAAGTCGTTGATGCCGAGGTTGACCACGACAACGTCAGGTACCCAGCTGGACATATCCCAGTCGCCCTGACGCGATGCAAGTGTGTTTTTCCACAAGGCCGGCATGTTAGGTCCCCAGTCGGCAGAGTTGCTGTGTACACCCTTGCTTTACAGAACAAGCGACAGCACTTGCATGAGAGACAAAGCTGCTTCAACTCAAATCACCAAAGAACTTACCCGCTCCAGGCCAGCACATGCTCTTCCGCGCCAAACATGCGCGCCGTCACACATGCGTAGCTGTTGTAGACGTTCTCCATACGGCCTTTCATTCCGAACAAATTCTTGGCGCTGCTAGCTTTACCTTCGTTGCCAAAGCCACAGGTGTCTGAGTCTCCAATGAACTCCATTTTACGCACAGGATGCGACTCGAGTTGGTCCACGGGAAAGACCTCGGCATCTTCCTCGACGATGAATCCGTAGAACGTGCAGATCTACAAGCACCGAGACAAAAGTCCATACGTGTGAAAAGAACAGCAGCAAACGTCACATTCCATCACACGACTCCACGACCGACCACACCTTGAACGTTGACATGGCGCCTCGCATCTGCGGCTCCGTGCGCTTGCAAATTCGAATCGTGTACTTCTGCTTCGTATCCAGCCCCGTTGCCACTGCACAACGCTTCTATCAGCAACCACTTTGCAGCAAAACGACCACACAAACACAGCGTTCCCTCACCGTCGCAGCTTGTCGCACTGAGTGACGCGCGAAGGATGCAGCGCAGCTCATTGTTGACGAAGACGTTGAAGTAGTTGCCTGCATGTCAACAAAAGTGACGCTCGTCAAGCACACCACAGCCAACTAACTGCCAGCCGATCGACTCAGCACGAAGGAAAGCAGTGGACTCCAATCGGACAGCTGCCACCGGATCGTCGGACAAATGGGTTCAGTGCGTGGCATCTCCGAACCGAACACTTGTCGACGTCGACTTCAACGAAATCCTTTGTCCGGTGCGGATCAACGGACCGGCGGCCAAGCGCGTTCCGACGCCACCAAACTCAAGCACTTGTGATGACGCACCGTCTCCTTTGAGTCGGATCGCCACGCGACTCGTGCCGTGGACCGAAACCGCAAAAGCCACCGCGGGCCAGTCAAACTGCACCGTATTGATCTTCGTCTTGCGCGCACACTGCGCCCCGTGGTGCAGCAGGCGGCCCGTGTACTTGATGCGGTCGTACGCGCAGGCCGGTACGAAGCGGCAGCCGCGGTCCACTGTCTCCTCGCGCTCCTCGCCGTCCACAGACGTCGCACGGGAGACAGCGACGACAACACGCGTGTCGTCGGTCATACTCGCGCGCGAGCGGAAGCTGAGCAGTTGGGCCAGCGCCGCAAGCGGTGAGCTGTTCTCGTCCCGGCTACTCCCGCTATCCAGTCGAGTCACGCGGCGACGAGCGCGCCAGCGTCCGCGAGACGACAAAGGCGGCGGCTCCTCTTGCATGTAATCCGTCGCCCCGGGGGAAAAAGGGCGATCGATATATATATATATATATATATGTGTGTGTGTTAATATATCGTGCAAAGGAGTACCGTGTGTACCGGTGTTGTGGCGCCTTCGAGCCGCTCGGCTTTGCGGCTATTGAAGTCGGTCAAGTGACTGACTGACTGATTGATTGATTGATTGACACATTGACTGACTGACTGGTTGTTGACAGACTCAATAACTTACTCACTCACCGACTGATTAGTGATCGATCGATCGATCGATCAATCGCTCGCTCGCTCGCATGAGGGCGTGAGTGAGTGCGAGTGGTCTTCGGCGTACGTTTGTTTGACTCGCATCTGCGCGATTCCACTGGCAGGTTCTTGTGAAAGGGAGTGCGTATGTGATTGACTGAGTGATTGCACGTGCACATAAAAACTGAGGACATCCGACGCTTCGAACGTCTGCGTGAGAGGAAGCTGCGGCCATGACGAAAACCGGCAAAGGTGAGGAGACTGCCGCTTCTTTGCGCCGACTGAAGACGATGTGGTCAGCGAGGACGAGTTGTGCCTCGCGGGGGGGGACGGACGACGTGAGAGCGCGGGATGAATCCAGTAGTAGCCAGCACCGACGACGTCCACCTGTTGGTGCACAATCTCTGTGGACTGCGACGGTGGCATTCGAGGACGCGATGGACGCGTGTGTTTGAGGTCAGCGCGGCCGATGGAAAAGGCTCACGTACTTGTCGCGAGAGGAGTTGCAGTGTGCGCCGTGCTGGTGTGAAAAAAAACTGTAGTAGTCAATCGATAAACGCGTTTTGAACGTTCTGTCTGGCCGTAAAAGCGCTGGAACGGTGGTTGCGAAACGTTTCGTACTGCTGTTTGAACGCCGTTACGCTTGCGATAAAGCACGCGCCTCAGACAAGCAGTCCTTCCCAGAGATCTGTGTCAATCTTTCGATTCGAACCTTATCGCGCCGGCCTTCGCAGTATCTCAACACAAAAATAATCACAGCCAACTAACTTGTCGTGTTGACACGGCAGCGGTAAACGAATCCTTGTGCGAAGACCGCGATCTTGGACGCGAGGCCAAAAGTAGTCACATCTCTGGGGTATAGCCCTGTTACAGACCTTTGGCGTGCGAGCTTACATTAGTTCCGCTTAGTCTTCTAACACGACGGATCATACTACCCGTTTGCTTCGATCGAGTCCCGGTCTGTCACTGTTACAGCACGACCTTTTGTTCTCTTCTAGCAACTGAAGACGTGGTCGTGGTCGTGGTGATGGTGGTGACCATGTCGGGCCTTTGTCTTGCTTTCATGATCGCGATACACGTAGGCCTACGCTTGTTATTCAGGTTGCGGACTGGAGAATTGATGACGTGGCCACGTGATTGTTCTTTGCTCAAATGTCGAGTAGCGCTGGGTCAACAATTGCGAAGCAAGTTACACTGATTAAGCTCATCGAAAGATGTCGACCGCAGCTCGAAATGAGTCGACAGGAGCTCGAAATGATTCGTGGCAAAGCGTCGTAAAAAAAGAGCTGCTGTCCGCCACGTGGAGCGGATACCCGTCTCTATCTGCTACAAACGGACGACTCGAATATCTGCTGCTGCTGTCCCTTACGCGAACAGTGCTGTCGCTTGATAGCAGCACTGCAGTGACTTCTTGTCTCGCATGACTGTCCCTTACGCGAACAGTGCTGTCGCTCGATAGCAGCACTGCAGTGACTTCTTGTCTCGCATGACTGTCCTATCACCCTACGTCTCATCTCATGAAAACAAACTTGAACGGGGGGAAGAGGGGTTCGAACATCGTTAGCTTTGTGCACATTCGTGGGCCTTACATGCGCACGAAGCAGTAGTACAATTCGTCTCGCTCGGGTGTTCATGTGCGCAGACGAAAGAGCTGCAAGACCAATGGACAGCCGTGGAATCGCTGAGGACGTCTGCGCAGAAAGCGGCCCGCGCGTAAACAACGGGACAAGAATGACAGCGACAGTACCGATTGATTGCACCGGTCATCTGCGCTTCTTCCACAGACGCGTTGCACAACGACTGCATCACACGCTGGCAGCTCGTTCGTCAAGCAGTTCAATTCCTACCCCTGTCCCCCTCTTCTTTGTCAAGACACAATCATCGATTGAGATGGACAACGACGCACAACACACGTGCCGCGCGTCCGTCAGAGAGAAGGAACAAATGACAAGGTATTCATTCAAACTCCCTCCCTCGATGTGCGGAATATATCTGTCTATGTCAAACAACCTTGCCATTTCTCACAAAAAGTCAGAGCCTTCTTGAGCTTGCACTCTTATCGAGTCGGTCCACCACGTCAGACGAGCCAGTCGCTTACTGGATGAGCTTCTTGAACTCGTCGTACAGCACCAGGACGATGGCACCGCCCGTGCCACGCAGGATGTTGGAGCCCGCGCCCTTGAAGAACGCGCCCGAGCCCTCGTTCTTGGCAATCTTCACGGCACAGTCCATCGTGGACGTGTACAGAATGTCCTTGCGACCCGCCTGCATCATCATGCGACGACGCACCGTGTCAAAGGGGTACGAGATCATACCGGCCAGCGACGTGACCGTCTGGGCGACCATCCACTTTTGCCACACGGGGGCGTTCTTAGGGTCCTTGAGCGCCACGTCGCGGAGCGTGTCGTAGCCACCAAAGAACGCGGCACGGTACACAATGATACCGCCGACCGAGACGCCAAAGCCGCGGTACAGACCCGAGAGGCCGTCCGACTTGTAAATCGTCGTGAGGCAGTTGGCCAAACCCGTGTACTGGCGGGACTTGCCCTTGCCCACGTCCGCGCCGAGACGCGTACGCGCAAAGTCCAGTGGGTACACAAACAGCAGCGACGTGGCGCCAGCCGCCCCGCCCGAGGCCAAGTTGCCCATGAAGAAGCGCCAGAACTGGTCCTTGCTCACACCGTCCATAAACAGCTTCTTGAACTTGTCCTTGAACGCAAAGTTGAGCGCTTGCGTGGGGAAGTAGCGGATCACGTTGGCCAAGTTGCCGCGCCATAGCGAGTTCACGCCCTGCTCCTTCGACACGCGCACAAAGCAGTCGACAATGCCCTTGTACTGGTCCTCCGGCTTGATCTGCGTCGACGCGGCCTGCACTTGCAGCAGCAGCTTCACGCGCTCGATGGGCGCGACGACCGTCTTGGAGATGCCGCCCGCGACGCCGCCCGCGGCCAAGTCCAGCAGGAACGACGTCACGCCGCTCTTCTTCTGCTCCGACGTGGCGACCGGCTTGTACGTGGAAAGGACACTCATCTGTGCGGCTGCTGTTTGTTGGAGGGGGAGAGGAGTGAGGGAGTCAAATGTCTTTGGCGATACGGAGGAAAAGCCCAAATGATCCTGAGGGGGCGGCGGCTGGGGGCTGGTTGGCTTCTCCACCACACAACTCGCCGACTTCGCACAGCCGCCAATCGGAGCGCCCGCGAGACCGCCTGGCGCACACCGATTGGACGAAACACAAAGACGCGCGAGGGAAAACGAGTGGCTCCCTCGCCTTAGCCTCGCGCGCGACTTGCCAATGAAAAAAGAGCGAACCCGCGCGGTCGACTGCGGCGTGTCGCACACGCGCGCGCCGGAGGAAAACAGCAGGGCGTACGTGTGCTTGTGGTCGCGATCGGTGCGAGGCGCACGACAGAACCAGACGCATTGGCTGACGAGTGCAACGCGCGCTGACTCTGGTCGTAAGATAAGGACAGGGTACGTCATTGACGTGCGTAGACACGTCAACAATAACGTGTTGTATCGTACACCCATAGGCGATCGACAGGCGGATACGAGTACGAGAGACGCCACTAACTGATTCGCTGTGTGTCGTGTGCACGATGGCCTGCAGCGCAATGTGTGTTGTCTGGTCCCGGAACCCCACCTCTTGGCTGACACGATGCGATGGCTACAATCGTCAAGCCACGTGGCTCAGTTCACAAGACGCTCGTGAACGTTCGCGTCTGTCACTTGTCGTCGCACGAACGCAACGCACTCAGCCCGATGAGCGCTATATGCAATGACGGTGGCTACATCCTGCGCGAGAAATCGTGCGAGGCTGTGCGTGACTGGTAGTCGGGCTTTGAATGTTGTCTGCGGTCACGGGCCTTCGCCACAGCCAGCGCGTTCCTTCCTGCAATGAGGTGAGGGTTTTTTTCGCCACACGTCGGCCACTGAATGCGGTCAAGATCAAGGGTTGTGGCCAGACCCGCCGATGTGTCGATCGCTGTGGTAGAGGCACTGTGATAGCAAGTGCTCATGGCAGCACCAGGAAGCATCACGAGAATGCCTCGGCACCAAACGTGTCGCGGAGGAAACTAGCGCCGTGAGGATGCGGCTGGCCAGACTGCTGTGCAGGACGCGACGACGATATGTGCCTCAAGGTTGCAAGCTGAGTAGCAAACAGCGACTTGAAGTAGCGGAAGTCGACGAGCTGTCAGTGCTTGCCCCAGCAAGCGTCACGCTGTGTCATTGATCTGATTGGAGTCCGTTGGTATTGTCAACGCGCTACCTTTGATTCATCGAGGGATTGCCTATATGTCAAAACGACCACAGCTGCGCTGATCAAGACGCAAGTGGGCGTGGGAATGCTGTGTTTGCCGTGTCCGTTTCCGACAGGCACAACGCGGACTGTCCACTCAGCAACGATGTTTCAGTCGTGGGCTTCATTGCTAATGTAGATTGTATGATTTGCTTGACTGCACACCTCAGTCGGCGCCCAAGCTGTGCAAGAAAGACGGTCACACGATGAAGATCAACGTTATCCTGTAGCCGCAATAGCCAACAACTTCGATAAGCACGAGTTCACCGTGTGTGTTAGTAGGTCTGATCGGTTAAACCCTAACGATAAATTACTTCCTGTGTTTGCTAACAACTTCCATAAGTATAGTACGTCGATAAGGCTGACGGTAGAGACCTTATCGAACGGTCTCAGCCGTGCGTCCCCTAGGCTGAAGGTTGAGTGAGACCTTCAGCCTACACGACGATCTGTGCTAGTCGAAGTTGTTAGCTAACACATGAAGTGTCTTGCAGTTGCGGTTTATCCGACCAGCTTGTACGGCCTTTGACGGTGGCAGGTGATGATAAATTGGTGGGTAACAAGTCAATGAACAAACAAAGTGCTCGGAAGAGTAGACAATGGGTACACAGAAGCTCCAGTAGCAGCAAACACTGTGTACAGTATGCGCAATCAAAGAGACGCGACGCATCAGCATCTGATTCTCGTTTCATCCCGACTGATTCATCGTTCCCATCGCGCGCTTTCGCTCGCGTGGTTCCCATGCGGTAGTCATAACTGCGGAAGTCATTTCTAATCCATTTCGATCCACAATCACCATCGCAACGCACTTCGAGACGTGCAAATGCTGCACTCGCTGTACATCATCAACAAGGCCGGGGGCCTCATCTACCAGCAAGACCTGAGCCCCGCCGCACCGAAACTCAGCTCCAATGACCACCTGCGTCTAGGCTCCACCTTCCACAGTATGCACGCGATTGCAGCCTTGGCAGCGCCCACTGGCTCGGGCGGCATCGACAGTCTCGAGACGGGCACCTTCCGCCTGCAGTGTCTACAGACGCCCACGGGTATCAAGTTCTTCCTCACAGCAGCACTAGGGACGCCGGATCTCGACGTGACGCTTCGGACTGTTTATGAGCTCTACGTGGACTACGTGCTCAAGGTATACATACATACATACACACATACATACATACATACATACATACATACATACATACATACATACATACATACATACATACATACATACATACATACATACATACATACATACATACATACATACATACATACATACATACATACATACATACATACATACATACATACATACATACATACATACATACATACATACATACATACATACATACATACATACATACATACATACATACATACATACATACATACATACATTCATACATACATACATAATACGATTTGTCAACTGTACCTCCAGCCACGTGATGCGCTAAACCGAGGGAACGCCTGCTCACTAACGACTTGTCCATGTCGTGCGTAGAACCCGTTCTACGAGCTAGAGATGCCGATCCGCTGCAGTCTCTTCAACACCCGACTCACGAATTTCGTCGAGAAGTTCAATCTGGAGAGCGCCCGACGTCGCCCGTTCTCGAGCAGCAACGGTCCCGATGGCTTTTACTCGTAACTGTTGCAATCGATTTCCGCTGCATGAGAAGGCAGCAGCGAAGAATCGGTTTTTGATTTTGTTTGCACGTTCAATCGCGACAATCGTTCTCACCTTGTCGTGTGCAGTCGTTAGTCTCAGAGTATGTGCTGCTCGCCAGCGCTGCACATTCAGCATGACCATTGGCGTGTTTGCCGTCAAGACCGAAAAAAGCCCTTTGGGAAGAGAATTCGAGGTTACGCTGGTTTTACCGTCATGCAACAATGGCAGTGCAGAAGACCGATTGACAAACCCGAAACGTTCCGCCCGATCTTGAGCGACTCTGAAATGCTGGATTCGAACTATCCGGAAACGTCACGACCGATAGACCTACCGATACTGCGTTGTTGGTAGAATCTTGAGCAACAACGCACGTTTTCGGTTGAGATTATTTTGTGCTGCCCTCTCGTGATATCAATGAAGAGCAACTGAGTGCAGCAACCAGTCACGCGCAAGCTTGTCGATGAGAAGTATAGCTTGGCTGTTTTAAGAATTCTCTTCAAGACTGACCACGAAGCGCGGAAGTGCCAACGTCATGTGTACAACGAAATGTACATCATCATCATCATCATTGGCGTATAATAGATCTCCGATAGGGCCTACCAAGGATAGCACAACTTCGCCACAAACGTACGATTAAGGCGTCAATATTTCGGTGGATCGAAGATGTCAACAATGGTGGTGATGACGTGAGTTAAACAAAGGCAGCTCTGACAAGGTTGTCGTGAGGCGGGTACAACAAGATCACATTGACGAGCTCACCACGTAAGTGATGCATTGACATAATGTGCTACCAACATTATCACTGCCTTATCACAAAGAATTCTGGCTAGTAGTTCTGATCAGGCTCGTATGTACACGCAAGTGTGGACAAGGAGGCCACGACAGTTTACAGCTTCTTCCGATGACGCTCTGTGGACGCGTTGCATCATAGGGCGCAAAGACGACAACCCGGTTGTGGACGTGTTGCTTGATGTTGCTCGACTCGGTACAGACACTGGCGGCAACGCTGCACAGAATGTATCATTTTCTAGCAAGTGGCCGTGTGTGAATTCTCGCAGTCCTGACTCAAGCAATATGGCTTGCTTCGTGCGATCGGAAGACTGCATCTCATGACTGCGTAGCTGTGTCTTCGTGCAGTACACTGCGAGTTGGCAATGCCTCGTTCGATCTCGACTGCTTCTCTCCCTCGTGAGATTCGACACCTCATTGCGAAACACAGCTTTCGCGCGATTTCTGTGCAGCACTCCCCTTCACGTGGCCATCCTCCAGAGTCTTCTAGCGATATGAGTACAACGAGGCGGAGTGATGAAAATGGCAAAAGGTTAGTAGTGATGTACTCGCAGCTCATGTACTTGCTCAACGCGAAACGGAATTGTGTTCGATTTCCACCATCGCTTGCGACTGCAACCGTATGCAACCGTAGCAACTTGGTAGCATATTATAAGCAACAAGTTGATACTGACCCAAGCAAACCTTTGACGTCAAAAGCTTTTGCAAATGCCTTCAAAAGCTGTTGTTGCCAACGGTTCGCTTCGGTCATGTCTTCAATGAAGCACCAGGTCCCTCTTGCAAAGCTGTTATACTGTCTCTAGTTGAGACACAGACGTGCACGTGAAAGGACGTTTTGCGCGAAACGACGCAAGGTCCTTACTCGGTCGAGCAGGACATCTTGGAAACGACAGCAGTGTCGCGAAGATCAGCCCAAGACCATCGGAGACAGTGGACTTTGCACTTGCTCGAACGGGTTCGAGAAACACGCCGCCCACTTGCGTTACTCCGCAATGCAATGAGTTGAGGCTGAAACGCATTCGCAGCAGCGACTTTTGCAAATGTATACATCAGCCTTTCAATGCTTCGGTGCAGTCACCTCGACGCTGAAGGTTGTAGTCACATCGAAGACTGGTATCGAAGACGCTAAGCGATACCTCATGATAGCGACACAGTTGATTGAAGTCATGCGTAGTAAGTCTGTTCAGGTGATATGCATCTGCCTGCTCTCGTTTTTTCTATCTATTTGCACAGCCTTGCTCCAAGAGGAGACTGGTCACATCTTATCCAGCCTTGCGGGTATCAGATTTGAGGCAGCAAGTGTTTGTGGATTGGTACTCCAATTCGTAGACATGAGCGTACAGAAGATTTATCAGGACGTGGTGGCAGTACTTTGTACTGGCAGCTTGTACAACTGACGTACTTGGCATCGTCGTAGACATTTGAGCATACTGTCAAGGATTGCAAGATGTTGATCTAGTAGGTCATTTACGGGATGCACCTGAGCGATGTCTGACTTGCTGAAAAGGTGTAATGCCGCGTGTCAAAATCTCACATCAGTAAATTACGTTCTTTACAGATCCACTTGTTGTCCATCTGAGTTGTTGACCCTCTCCTTCGCTTTACGTGGTAGACAACGAGCAGGCCTCGACACCATCTACTTGGCGTCTGGTGGCGGCGACAAAAAGTAATCCACCGATGACTTTGCGCACAAGATGCCTAGTGCGAGCAGAAAACAGCCCAGGCCACGCATTAGTGAGTCGATGGTGTGGTTGTTCAGGCGCTACCACAACATCAAGTCACACGCAAGCCAGTCAGCCATTTGCGCAGAACCTCTCAGCAGCAGCAGCATACTTGCACGTACCTGCTTGTACTTTTTCAGAAGGGAGAGTAGCAAGTAAAACCATGTCGATACACCACAAGAAACGCCGAGAGCAAACACAATGGCCAGGGATAGTGTGAACTCGAGCATGCCGGTGCCATACACTGCGGCACGCAAACACACACACATCCTTCAGCGCAAAAACCCAAGTGTAGGCCTTCCGACACCAGCACAAGTACCTGATGCAATCGCGCCAGTATAAGACGCAAGCAGCGCTGGATTGATCCCGGACATTGTAAGTCCCATCAGGACGTTTTTTAAAACTTCTGTCTGTGGTCGTTGCGTCGATTTACCGTGAGAAGCCTCGACATCCGGGTCGAGCGACGGCGTCATGTCTGCCTTCAGAAACACCAACCCAATCAGCGTGAACATGATCGCTCCAAGCACTCTGTCACCACCATCACACCACGACATTAGCTCATGAGCGCTCGACTCGTTTCTCTCGTGCGCAACCACACCCACGTACTTGGACACTGGAAGTAGAAACTTAGCACCCGCCAAGAAGCTGCCAAACCCCCAGAACGCAACACCAGCATAGGTCTACACAAGACATCGACAATAATTGCCACGACAACAGCAACAAAAACAATACAAACAGTAACCCAATCAGTCACTCAGTCATTCAGTCAGTCAGTCAGTCAGTCAGTCAGTCGACCCACATAGAAACAAATGCCTCTCTCTCTCGTACCGCTTCAGCGATAGCGCCGCCCACTGCGATCGTCAGACCTGCCGCGTATTTGCCCTGAATGCCCAACTTCAGTACCATCGCCGACGTGGGTCCAGCAATGGGTACAGAGCCTAAAAACCCGAAGCAAAAGCCCGCGACCAGCGGCAGCAGCAGTCGCAGCCCCAGCGGCGCGTTCGTCAGAGTCTCCGACGCCCTCACGTCGGCTTCAACCGCTGCTATCGCGTCCCGAACGGCCTCTTTCGTTTCGTCTGCTTCGTTTTCTACTCCTTCTGCGTTCCGTTCGACGCTTCTGACGTCTTCCGGTGCCACGAACGCGTCCACAGAGTGCGTCGGGTCGACGTCAGGTGGGGAAGAGACGACCTCTGGAGACGGCGGCGGCAATGACGAGCGGGAGAAGAAAAGGAACAGGAGCGCGAGAGCGACGAGGAGGCCGACTATAGCGCCGCGACGCAGTTGACGGTACGGCGCCCACGCGTAGCGCTTGCGGAGCTGGTGCAGGGGCAGGAGCATCGTGCACTTGTGCGAGTAAAAGTAGTAGTAGTAGTAGTAGTAGTAGTAGTAGTAGTAGTAGTAGTAGTAGTAGTAGTAGTAGTAGTAGTAGTAGTAGTAGTAGTAGTAGTAGTAGTAGTAGTAGTAGTAGTAGTAGTAGTAGTAGTAGTAGTAGTAGTAGTAGTAGTAGTAGTAGTAGTAGTAGTAGTAGTAGTAGTAGTAGTAGTAGTAGTAGTAGTAGTAGTAGTAGTAGTAGTAGTAGTAGTAGTAGTAGTAGTAGTAGTAGTAGTAGTAGTAGTAGTAGTAGTAGTAGTAGTAGTAGTAGTAGTAGTAGTAGTAGTAGTAGTAGTAGTAGTAGTAGTAGTAGTAGTAGTAGTAGTAGTAGTAGTAGTAGTAGTAGTAGTAGTAGTAGTAGTAGTAGTAGTAGTAGTAGTAGTAGTAGTAGTAGTAGTAGTAGTAGTAGTAGTAGTAGTAGTAGTAGTAGTAGTAGTAGTAGTAGTAGTAGTAGTAGTAGTAGTAGTAGTAGTAGTAGTAGTAGTAGTAGTAGTAGTTGTTGTTGTTGTTGTTGTTGTTGTTGTTGTTGTTGTTGTTGTTGTCTAGTCGGACTGTCGTTCCCGCGGTAGAGTGACGTCCTACCACTCTGCCAGCAACAAGACGAAGAACGCTGTTTCTGTCGCATACAGTCGCGGAACAGCGCGGTATACCGACTGCTCCTCGGTATGACAACTGCAGCACAGACGTGCACGCTCAGACAACAACTGTCTTGTCTCACTGTTTTTGACGAGAGCCACGTCGGCGTGGTGCTGAACGCGTTACTGCCACTGCGGCAACGGCTCTTTGCGTTTGATTCGGACACATTTGCACTCGATGCGATCCAAATCCCTTCTTGACACAATTGTGTCGTGTAAAGTGGCCGTGGGACACATGTTCGGGCGAGCATTTGGCTCGTCTAAGTAGATGTCGAATCGCATCCAGTAAAGTCGGCTCGCGGTGCTGGAGAGTTCGCTTGTCAGCAAAAATTGGGCACTGTTGACAATGCGTACGACTCAAAAAAAGAGCGGTATCATACTCGTGGAGCTACGTCTTGACTCGTGGCCGTAGCATTCGTTCACTACGAATGGCCCAACGTTGTAACAGAGGATATCGAGTAAACGTCACGCGTCTCATCCAACGAGAATCGGTTGAAGGGGACAAGAAAACGTTGTTATGATTGTCGACGCGTGCAGAATGTGCCAACAAGACCATCGACGATTCGCGTCTTGAGCTTGCAGATGGTGGCTTGGAGAAGCCTCCACCACTAACGAACGGAGTGGTCGTCCCAGTGAGCATCTGGCTGCGGACTCGAGCGCTTTGCGTGCCGAGGACAATAGCGATCGCAACAACAGCAAAAGGAGCAGTGGGCCTTCGAGGTGCAAGCAGACACCTTTGCTCGCTCCGCACGTTACATAGACTTGTCCTCGGCCTGAAAGTACCGTGTTGTCTGGAGTCAAATCCACATATCTCTGGGCACAACGAGCTCAGCGCAGCCACGCCAACAGCGCTCAATGTCCTGTCGTCCATTGATCAGTGGACCACAAACTCACCGTAATTGACGCGAAGTAGGTGTCGACCGCCACCCTGAGGCATCGAGCAAAGTGGTGCTCGATGCCGGGAGCAGCGGGTCAAAAGGCAATCGAAGCTGTGGTAAGGTATCTACGGCGTAGACAGGCAGGGATGCCATCATGTCCGACAAAGAAGACGTTGGAGCCGCACGGCTCGCAGTTCAGAGATTCAATTTGGAAGAGTCGCACGTAACAAGCTTATTTCGCACAAATTTGTACAACTCCTACTTCCCGTCAGACCCAAGTCGCACCCCGGCAGCCACTTACTCCCTCTTGTCCAGGCGCACCTCGATCAGCCGGCCTTCTACGTCGTACCCGTTGAAGCGCTCTGTGGCACATGATCAGATTCACGCTTTAGTAACAAGCAATCACGACCACGAAAACAAAAGACACTTACCGATCGCTTGCCACGCGTCCGCTGCATTCGTGTATCGAATGATACCAAAGCCACGCGAGCGACCGTCCGGGTGCTCAGCGATGTCGGCACGTTCAACCGCTCCCACGGTTGCAAACAGGTCCTTCAGTTGCTGCCAGTTGGTGTCCCACGGAAGCTGCATACAACATACAACACATTAGAAGCGCAAGGTCACGTGCAAAAAGCGACGTCGACGTACGTTTCCAACATAGAGCTGACGACCCTCGCCGCCACTACCGCCAGCGCCAGCACCGCCACCGCCGCCAGCACCACCACGAGGAGGCGCAGCGCGCTTGGCAAACTTGGAAATGCTACCGCCTTCAGGCTCTCTGTCCTCGCGGACAAAGATGAGTCGGCCTTCGAGCTCCGTGTTGTTGAGCTCCGCAATGGCCTTCGCAGCTTCGTCCGGCGAAGCGTACTCCACGAGGCCACACCCCTTGGAGCGACCATTCGACTCTTCCAGGACTGGTCAAAGCAGAAGACACAAGAACCTCACCGGTCAGCACCACCAAAACGGCAATGAAGACACAAATACGCCACCACTAGTAGCAGCACGACAGTCACGCACCATCGGCGTGCACCACCGTGCCGGCCTTCTTCATATGGTCCTTGAGCTCCTGCCACTTGACAGTCCACGACAAGTTGCCCACGTATACCCGGAAGCCGCGCTTGGGTTTCTGGGCCGACGACGGCTGGGACTCGCGGTCTTCACGAACAAAGATCTTGCGGCCACCGAGTTCCGTGTCATTGAGCGTGGCGATAGCATTCTTTGCTGCGTCTTCCGACTCGAACGTCACGACGCCACACCCCTGCGCGATACAACACGACACGGACCACACACACATCGTCACTTGTGCACGTTGTGGCCAAACAACAGCTCGTAGCCAGAGCGTACCTTCGAGCGACCGTTCCACTCGAGCACCGTCGCGGCCTCAACGGGTCCAGCTGCGAGCATGTGCTCCTTGAGGTCCTGCGACTTGATGCTCCACGACAGATTGCCCACGTACACGCGGCAGTTGACAGCGCTCGACGACTCCATCTCCACGTCTAACGTCGGTGCAGCAACGAGTCAGGAACCGAATCAATCACTCGGCCACTCAATCAAACACCCCATGTTCTCTCGATGTATACAGCAGTATACACTATACATACCGTGGCCCGCGTCACTGTGGTCAGCTTGGTGCAAACTCGACTCGCCCGCGTGCTCGGCGTGTTTCCTGCGTTACAGCGCAGCAGTACCCCACCCATCAGTCTCCCCCCTCGCTCCCTACAGAGCCACGACAGTCGGCCACGCACGTGCTCTTGGCCTCGTCCGCAGGGGCTGCCCCCGCGTCGGTCTTTGCACGCTCCTGCACAATGATGTCGTCCAGCGACATGTCGAGCTTCTTCTCGGCGGTAACGGACGCCATGTCGACGACGAAGTTGCTCTCTCGCGGTCGCTCTTGTTGCAAGTCCCTCGAAATTGCCAACTGGGGCGAATCTTTTGGGTGGTGCGGACGGAGGCATAGCGAGAGCAAGTGAATCGTCTTTGACAGGGGACGAGGCGGATGGACGGACTCCACAAGTGCTGACTGGAGGAAAAGCGGCTGCCGTCGGATCGGCCCTCCAGATGATTGGCTGATGACGAGGTACGCGAAACCAGGCACGAAAAGGACCGTACCCTCGTACAATACCCCTCGCAACTCGACACCACACCCCCTTAATTCACTAGTTCCATTCAACAGCGACCCCTGGGATGTCCAGTTTCGTTGGCAAAGTTTAGGGAACGACCTTCTGGCAATAAAAGGTACTGCTTTAACATGCACGCTGTCGGCCACGAATAGACTGAACTGTTGCGGACGTTCTTGTTATACGTGCGATCGTATCCATATCTCAGTGCAAGTCAGCGTTGCGTTTTGCCATGGACTGCACCTGACACTGCCTCTTTTGTCCAGTTCGGATACTATTCAGCTTCATTTTGAGTCTGTTCTCTGCATGATGTTCCATACTATGGTCAGCCGGAGCCATACGGACATTGCTGTATCGATGACACCTTACTTCATATATGCAACGTCACGTAACCTCGTCACCACGTTCAGAAAGGGCGTGCAAAACCCATGGCTTGTACATGCGCGACCCTTGCAAAAAGATCGCGTCCAACCAGGTCGTGCAGCATAGACGGCACCACGATACGAAGCACAGAGCTAGGACCTCTGCATCATCAGTCATCATCAAGCCACCGCACTGTCAGTCGCAGCATTTCCCCAATGCGCCACGTCGATCCTTGGGTTGCCTTGATCAAAAGCCGAGTGGCGAAAATACTAGAGCGCCGGACGTTCATGTCACAATGTCGTACAACTCGACATTTACTTTCTGGGATGAATATTAATGGACAGAGGGCTGCGGGCAAACCTCTTGTTGCGCGAGCCCTCCATCCGCGGGTGCATGGGCGGTCGAGCTGCGTTTGGGAATCCAGCTGCAGATCCTGTTGCGTCTCCGACACGAGGCGTGCTCGGCATTTTGTTTAGCAACTATAGATACACGACCACAAGTACTGTCAGGTCAGCCAAACATTGACAAAGACAACCAACTTGTCTTTGATTTGCTGTCGCGGACGCACCGGATCTTGCCGGTCGCTCTCCTTTGTCACCAGTTGATACTGAAGCGGAGGAAGACGGACGCCGTATTCGTTCGAAATTGGCGGAAGCGAAATACTATTGCGTTTGTCTGCCAGCTCCATTGTCAGCTAAGACACATCACCACGTCGGCCAGTCACGTGAATATCAAGCAAGAAAACCAGCGTCAACAGAGCCCGGAAAGCAACGAATGGCCCACCTCTCGAGGTGGCGCTTGAGCGTAGTGGTGGCTCAACCTCGAAGCGATTGCCAGCCGAATGTCGTCAGGATCAATCGTCTACATTCGTCAGAAATGTGCAAAATAACGGGCAGCATGCCATGATGTTCTCGGGTCTATTTCATCTATGCCTTGCGCTCACTCTACCTGCTTGTCTGCAAACATGGAATACTCCTGGGCATCCACCAGAACCTCCGTCACGTAACCTGCACATTCCACAAATGAGACGCATCCTGTTCGTACTTACGCCAAATGAATAGTACTACAAGCCAATGGGATTGATCCGTACGGTGCACGAACTCGAGCAGCTGCGCGACGACACGCGGCTCAAACCTATCGACCCCCATGGACTCCAGCACGTTCTCCATGCACAACACATCCAGCGGCTGCACGTCGACCCCTTCTGCACGCTCACTGCCGTGGTCTTCGTCGTCGTGGAGACGCTTGTTGTCGCTGCCCATAATGGCGAAAGTACAAAACCTACAAACAAAATGAATGTGCCATAAACAGATCGCTCACCCTTTTACAGTGACGGCATTATGTCGTAAACGTCTATCCAAATATTTCGGGTTTGTATTTTCAACCCGATATTTAGGCCAAAATTATGTAACGGGTCCACCCCGCTGCACAAAAAAAGCGCCGAGGCGAATGACGTTACAAAGCAAGATATGTAAGCATAGGGGTCGCTCGATGATGTTGTGGACACCATCCATAACCTGTAACATTTTTCAATCTCCTTCGCTCAGCTACTCCTCACCCCATACTTCTTAAAACACAAATCTAAGACCATGGATGGCTTATGCACAATACTAGCTTCAATTCTATAGTCTCGGATCATAACCACAGTAGACAATTTTTCCGCGAAGTTCTGGGACCCTAAAGTTCGGAGAATTTCGTGAATAATGGCTCGCGGCGGGCACATTTGGCCGACCCCAAAATTACCGTGTAGACCTATTTTTCTCGATCTTTCGCAATTTTTCTTATGTAGCCCTTTATTAAGTAGACGAATGGGCGTAAAAGAACCATTTTTGCAGTCTATAAAGTGCAAAAATGGCTATTTCGCCCTATTAGGCATTGTTTTGCCTGTTTATATCCTCTATTTACTATGGAAGGACGCATGCAATCATCAAAATTTATTGCAAAGCACGATAAGTGGCAGCAGCTAAACGTTCACATCCGTTAAAATTGAATTGGTACCTTACAATGCGACTAATACTTCTTTACGGCGTAGTCGTCGGCCTTCCTAGTCAGGATCATGCGATATACGTTCATGTACCGAAAGCACCTTCAAGCATGGTGGCGGATAGTATTGAGAGAGACGAATGCAAGGGGTTTAGGACCATGTGCTCAAGCCTTTTTCCAGCATAAATCTTCAATCTCCCCTGAACAAATCGATGAAGGTCAGACAGCAATGGAACTTAGGGGAAAATGTGAGATACGGCCGCAGTGATAGTCTCTTCCCGAAGCCCTTTTGGCTCTTAATTTACATCAACTTTCGGATGACACTGCGGTCGCAGCAACTGCCCTCATAATCTGCAAGCACCGTAGCCATTTGTTGGGGCGCGGCATGTTGGTGATTTTTGACTAATAATTACATCGATATGGGTTGAAAACGTGCAAAAGACTTTCATGTTGTATGCAGTGCGACGGGAGCGTTGAAATTGGCGCTTTTCGGTTGCGGAAACAGCAAAAAAGCATAATTTTTTTTCTTTTTCAAATTTGGCCGCCAAAAAAAGTTATAGCTTATAGGTGGGGAGCGTCGTATTGATATTGACATCGGCACCAAAGACATGTAGATGTGAATGGTATGGAGTCCGATACGATTCAGTATGCATCACCCTTGGCAAGTAATTTTGACAGAATGTTACCTTTGAATGTAGAAGTCGGCAAGCACCAGCTGACAGCACGCTGCGTATTGGCTAGGATCGGTCATCGCGTCAGCCAGCAAAGCCATCAATCCATGCAAGACTCGAACAATAAGTATGAACCAAGAGGTTAGCATTCATATCTGAGATTCAATGTAGTGTTTCGTGAACCTTGACTAAATGAATCTATTTCTGCCTGGTTGACCGACACGTGTAAGCTCCCGATTCACGCATACTTAGTACCTTTCTTTGACATACATAATTAGTACAACCTTGTAGGCTCGCGTATAGAATTGCAACCTGTTGTACGTGGCTGTAACACTACGAGGGTACCATTAGTACCTAATGCTTCATCTACACGACCGTGTCATGAATTCAGAGGTATCCGACTACACCATTATCAGTGCAGGATACTAATAATGTCAGAAGCGGAAGCTTAAAGTGCTCCGTTATATGCCTGTGTTCGACAAAGCGTCTATCTACTGATAGATAGACCTGAATATATGTAGAAATGTTAAAAAGCAGCGTGTAGTCGACCGACGTACCGACACTACGATGGAGTTGATCTCGGCGCGTACATGTGTCAGTGACAAAACCCAGCACAAAACAGGTAAAAATCAATCAAGACTAGGTGAATTAAAAGCAGGTTAAACAGAACAATATACTCAATTCGGTATTTGCTACCAGCCATCATAGCAGCATATTTTCCTGTCGTTTTTAACAGGATGATTTGTCATCTATTATTGCTGATGCAGACGGCGACCTTCAATCTTGCCCAGACTTGCCGAATATGAGAGGCTTGCCCCGGTATGCTTTGACTTGTATCCTTGTGCCTATTTCGTATACCTTTGGGTCACACTGACTTAAGCTCTTCGTAACGGCCTTGAAGATGCCGATCTCGCTTGAAGGTAGGAATTATTTTGGTCGATTGCTGCGCGTGAAAATTTATGCATCAATTTAGTATGAGCGATCTCGCTTTACTATCGGTCACTCTGCTTCCGTTGATACCTCATCTCGCTTGACCGAGTCATGCATACAATTGTAACTATATTCTGACATCTTCAGCTGCCTCGCAATCTGTAATTCTCGAGCTTGATATTGTGATCTAGGTTAACGACCCATATTGTCTTGGTAATCCACCAGATTGACTTGTAAACGCTTACGCCCTTTACACCGCCCACTTCTTCCTTTACTTTCCCTTGTCTTGATTATGTGGTTGAGTGAGGCCTCAAAACTGCGTGATGAGCCCCCAAAATAATCACTGTGCCGGACTGCCGACTTACGGGGGGGGGTTACCCCAATGCCGCGTATAGACCTTGACTCACCTTGTGTACCCGTCGGCTGTCGGGTTGCACTCTTCGGTATAATTGGACGGCGACTAAGATGTGTTAGCCTTGCAAGAGCCAGACTTAAAGGGGACCCGAGTGGATATGCTTCACTCGGTGGACCAGTGGGTGGTCACTTGATCGACACGGTCAGGGGTGGGCTTGTAACCCAAATTCTTCAGGTAGCTTGTCGTTCCTGGTCTTTTGTATAATCACAGGGGTGTGGTAAAGCGACTATGAAAATTTGCTATTGAGGAACTGATCGCATTCCCGTTATGTCCGAGCCAGTTAACGGTTGGCTGCCCGGTCCCACATCCGGTCAGATCGCGTCCATTGGACAGTCAGACTAAAATGAATATCAGATCGGGCAAGTCGGGACCTGCGACTTTGGATCAAGGTATGAGGCGGAAGGTAACGTTGGCGATCAGTCGATCAAGAAGGGAACCGCGATCAGAAAGGCATTTGCGATCAAGATGGCGATCGAGATCGTGATCAGTGATCAGGTAAGTGATCGCGATCAAGTTGGTGTGGAGCACACCATGTGATCCGCGATCAGCAAGGTGATCGCGACTAGGAAGCGATCGAGATCAGGAAGCGATCGAGATCGTGATCATTGATCAGATATGTGATCGCGATTAGACAAGCCTATCAGGTGTGGGCCACGCAAGTACAAGATCGCTATCGTCTAGAGAGAGCGACATGTGGCAAACGATGTACAAGACATTGAGATAGGGATATGGTTGTTGGGTTTGATTGGTTAACATTAAACAGAGTTCAAGTTGCTTCAAAGTACACATGTCGACTTCTCCTCCGGGTGGATCATTGGCCACCCGACGTCAAGTAAAGGTTTACATACTTCAATCAAGTGATGTCCCTGGATTGTTTGGCCAGGGATCAAGATCTCTCAAACAACACCCCAACTGCGACTGGACGAAGGAAACCCTTTGTGGTTGAGGACCCAAGATCGTGGGACGGCTCAAGTGGTCAGAAGGCTCGCGAATCAAGGTCTACATTTGGACAAGGCGATCTGTTACAGATCAGGGTGACTCATATCGAGCACTCCACAAGCATACAAGTGATCGCGTGACGACTTCCACTTGATCACACCAACCCCGATCGTGGTGTGAAGATTTCCACACCGTGATCAAACCTCGACCCCATCAAAAACACGGTTAAGTTTTCCATTGACACGAGTCCACCTGGAAGAGTGCAACCCGCCCCACCGACGGGCACACAAGGTGAGGAAGGCTATCAATAACACGGAATCGGAGTACCCCCTCCGTTAGTCGGTCGTCCGGGCGCCAGTGAAGAGTTATGATCTACTCTTCAAAAGAGCGATCACCACTCCATTACAATGGTTCTCGTGCCTGGATCTTCTAATGACTCGGGATATCACCGTGAGTCCTTGAGTGAAGATATGAAAACAAAAACTGAACCTGGGATGGAAGCGTCGAAGGCCAAGGAATCGCCACAGACACGTGAGTCTGAAAGATTCCCAGTTCATCAGAGCTCTGGGAGGAGCTCTAACGACAAGAAAATAAAAGAGGAAAATCGATTGCTCGATTTGGAAGGAAAACCTCGACCCCCTCCTGAGGTCCCTTCGTGGACCACCGCGGATCGTGCTACAAAGCATGATTTGCAGGGTGAAAATCTATTCGCTAAAACCGAGCAAAAGTTGCCCAAAGTCACACCCGCGATTTCGAGAAAAGATCGATCAAGGAATGCGAGGGTGAAAGAAACAACGACCGAGCCCGACCAACACGATCAAGTTGAGAACAAGATCCCGAAGCCATTCAAGTTCGTGGAAGACGAGATAAAGATGGAAGGGTGGCAATATGAAGCACTGGCAAAGATGTACGAGTGGAAGATGCTCAAGAATATACTACCAAGCGATCCAGTACTCCAAGTGCTGAAGCCAGAACTGATCGACGAGATTCAAGGTCCGGTATCGACCCCGGCAAATGCATCGAACATGCTGGAAGAAATCAATGGGATCATGCGACTTTTGCATGAAGCTGAATTCGTGGCGGAGATGATCGATGTGAAAAGGTTGTTGGATTTTGATCAAGGCCAAATTACCTGCGCATGTCGATCGTTGTACGAGAAGCCGATCCCTCACACAGGCAAAGCTAAGATTAAAGATCAAGCGAGTACCACGATCGCGGACATGACGAAGGAATACCACACCGGATTGTTGCAGTATGCCTCAGCGGAATCCGAGATCGATTCAGACCCCTCGATCGGCATTCAACGGATGTCACTAGGCCCCAG